GAGGGCAGTTGAAACAGACACCCAGGGCCAACCTCTGGCTTCCACATGCTTGGGCACATACACAAACATATGTGGACACACACACACACTAAAAAAAATACCTGTGCTTTGTTTGAGTTCAGGGAAAATGTTGCAAATTTATAAAGTGAAATATAGTAGTTAGAATTCTGAGCTTCCTTATTTCTGTAATCTTGCTACTGTTAGGAATTGTAATGTGTTTCCAAATGGTCTTAGGTAACCCTTGTGAAGGGGTCGTTTGACCCTCAGAGGTTGAAAGCCTTAGGGGGTTGTTCAAGATGGAAAGCCCTCCACATAGGTGGTTTTTACTTTGTTTTAGAATTTGATACATGAGTAGTGCATTTACATATTTTTATTTTCTCCTCTTCCTCTTCTAACTCTTTCTGTGTTCCCCCATCTCCCTCTGAAATTATCGACCTCTTTTCTTTAATTACTATCGTTTATACATATATATGTATGCACACACACACACACACACACACATACACACATTCCAAACCTACCGAGTGCATTTATGGTTGCTTGTATGTACATGTGTTTAGGGCTGACCACTTGGGGTTGAGTGCTGGTTCCTGGAGAAGAGCAATTTTCCCTCAGCAGCCATATAGAGCCTGTAGCTCTTCCTCTAGGGTGGAGCCTTGTGAGAGTTCTCCTCTCCAACTGGCACGCCAGCTTTGAAGGTGACTGGGATTTTAGAATGGGTTAGAAACAACAGAGGGAAACGAGTCAGTGGATGGCTGTACTGTAAGACTTAACAAGCCTGCTGTGGGGCCAGGGAGGTGACAAGGTACCTGAAGACCTGAGTTAGATAGATACTTCGGTCCCACAGGGCAGAAAGACGAGAGCTGACTCCCAAAGGTTGACCTCTCACCTCCACACGCATGCGGTAGTGTATGTGTGATTCCCCGCCCCCCCCCCAACTAAATGAAAAAGTAAAAAAGAAACCTACTATGCTCCAGTGTTCCTTTGGTTTCTCAGCAGCACTTAGGTAGACTGTACAGTGTGCCCATCTTTCAGATGTGAACACTAGTTACCAGAGAAGAAGGTTACAAAGCCAGTGAATGAGAAAGCCAGAGTCTGAACCAAGCTAGGAATTCATGAGCAAGCAGTTGTCTTGGTTGGTATTTAGACTGCTGATGGCCTCTGTTTTTATTTATTTGTTATTTCTTTTAAGTGTTTTAGCCAACAGCACTGATGGGTGTTAGTAATAACAATTCTATGACGCCTGCAAAAACCAATGTTTGTGGAATAACAAATGAAAGCATATTAGTCGGGTTTTGCTGCAATGCTGTGTAACAAACAACTCTGAAATGTCAGTGCTTTACAACGGCCAACACTTGGTTTTTGGCTGAGGAGACTCTGCTTTAGGTCCTAAGTGGAGTTTAGGTATCTTCCATATGTATATGAGTCAGCTAGTGCTACTGTAACAAAATACCAAACACCCGGATACATAAACAGCAGAAAAATTCCCCCCCAGAACATCAAGGTGTTACTTTTTTGTTATTGCTGTTGAAACAGAGTCTCATGTATCTCAGGCTGGACTGAAATTCTGTGTAGCTGAGGATGACTTTAAACCTCAGCCTCTCCCGCCTTCACCTCCTGAGTGCTGGGGTCATGTCTGTGTACCACCATGCCTGGTTTCTCTGCAGGGCTGAATCACATGGAGGAGGAGCGGGACCACGGGCATCCTAGGCAAACACTGGACCAGCTGAGCTACATCCCCAGCCTCACGGTTATTGGTCAGGTTGTTTGCTATTTATCTAGTCTCTTTCTTCAGTGTGCAAATGGCCACCGTCTTGCTGTGTCCTCTCCTGGTTCTTGGTGTTTTTTTCTATGCCCGAATCCCCTGAAGTCTCACTGTTTAAATCTTCTCTTCCAAGGACATCAGCCTGTTTGATATAGAGCCTAATCTATCAGTCTCACTTTTACTTAATCGGCTCTTTAAAGGCGCTATCTCTAAATATAGTTCTCTCTCAGTCTTCCTCTTAATGACTACTTTCTCATTGGCAAGGAGCTTTCCATAGAATCTCATTTCTTTTGCCTTTTTTCTTTTCTTTTCTCTCTCTTTTTTTTCTTTTTGAGACAGAGTCTTACTATGTAGCCTTTTCTGGCCCAAACTCACACATATCCACCTGGTGCCTCTGCCTCCTGAGTGCTGGAATTAAAGGTGTATGCCACCATAGCTGGTCAGTACACATAATTAAAAAAATTAAAATAAATGTTTAAATTTTACTGGCTTTCTTTTTCCTTCTTGATTTGAGAAGAGTTCACAGTGGCTTACTGCGCAGGAACTAACAGATTCCTTCTCCTCAGTTATTTGAATTTTCTGGCAAAACAAGTGATAACCCCATGAGTAATTGTAGAGCTGTGTACTGTAATTTTCTCTGTAGATCAGTCTCCAGGACACACTGTTTTCTCTCTGTTCAAAATAATGTATAAGGAATTCCAATGTTTGACCTTCTGGTCCAATGACATATTGCCTCATAGCTTCTCAAAATCTAGCAATAGTCCTTTTAATTTTCTGTACAATTTTTATTAGAGTTTAGAAAAGGTTAATTAGGCAACTGCTCATCTCAGGGGAAGAAGATTTTTAAAAAATATATAATATTACAAAATGTCCTTATTGGGTATGAAGGTAACACCACAAGGGGGAACTATAATTTTATCAAATTTGTCCTGGCAAGTTGGCTCTGAAGGTAAAGCGATTAGAGCCTGCAGAGTTAATTTTAATATGCTAATACATCACAGCAAGTTGGGGACTTAAATAAAATGATACAATTAATATACTTTTATGAGATGTAGAAAGACTTAGTAAGGTCATTTGCAGATTACATTAGAGCTACATTTGGACTTATTGGGTTTAAAATTCAACATTCTTTAAAGGAAGCTGTGGATGTCTCAGCCAACATCCCAGCCACCTTTGACTGAAAGAGTGAACGTCTGATTGGGTGGATCTTGAGCTGGGCTCATAAAATAAGTGAACGTCCAGGCTTCCTCTTTAAATACAGCCAGGATCAAGCTTTTAGATCTTAATTTCTTTAGTGTTGCAACCCAGAAAATGACATGCTAATTCTGGAAGAGATTTTTTTTGAAAGGCTATTTAATTAATTGTAGTAGATTTTCCCTTTTTACCCTGCCTTTGGAATTCTACAGTTTTGCTTGGCAGTATGTCTGAGTTTCTTGGTCCTTCTGGATGGACAGTTTTGTTATTTTATCTGAAACATTGAAAGTGATTATATTGCTTGCTGAAGAAACTGTAGGTGTGTGTGTGTCTGTGTGTCTCTCTGTGTGTGCACATGATACACATATGCAGATCAGAGGAGAACTTGCAGAAGTCCATTCTCTTCCTCTACCATGTGGGTCCTAGGGATTGAACTCAGGTCATCACGATTGGCGGCAAGTGCCTTTATCCACTGAGCCCTCTCCCCAGCCCTCCACTTTAGTTCTTGGACAAGATTCCTCCACTCTGCCTCCCCAGTGCTGAGGTCACAGATATTCACTGCAGTTCTAAGCTTTTATGAGAGTGATAGGGAATCTACCTCATGGTTGAGAGGCCAAGTACTCTACCAAGAGAGCCACACCCCCAGCCTCCTCATCCGCTAACTTTTATGCTAACATTAAAACTTGTTCTCTTGAACCTCTTTCTAGGACCTAGTATACACATAAAAAATCACCCATTGCATTTCCACGGAGTCCTGATTACCACGGGTTATTCCTGAGTGTCCCCGTGAAGCCTTAATTAGAGGAAAGAGTAATATATATCTGAAGCAGAGAAGTCACAGGAATAAGAAATACTTCAAATAATTCTCAATTTCTCATTAGCAGGCCCTGATAGAGAGCAGACGTAATTAGAGCGATAGCATCTAACGGGCACGCGTACATTTGACTAAAAGCCAAGAGCAACAGAGTCACGATATTTATGTTCATGTTTAAATTACTCAAGTGCTTAATTGTATAATTTCAGTTTCAATTACCAAACGCCCTCACTTTTAAAATTAGTCCTTCGAGTATTAGCTGCATGATGTTGTTATTAAAGTTGGAAATCTGCTATTAGGGTTTAGAGGATTATTGAAAGTTGTTGGCATATGTCTTGTTTAATAAATAAGTTTAATTGTGCATGTAATCTGGTAATTGAGTAATGATGAATTATACTTTTTACAGAAATGTAGAACGACTCCCCCCCCCCCTTAGGGTGAAATAAAGCCACTTTTTAGGGATTTATTTCTCAGAGAGAATATTATTAATCATCTAAGATATCACTTTTATACTGTAGGAACCCCTGTAAATAGTGTGACTTTTAGATAAGATTTACTTCTGTTTATATGTGTGCACATGCGTGTGCAGGTGTCCTCAGGGGCCAGAGGAGGGCATTGGGTCCCCTGGAGTTGGAGATGTAGGTCATTGTTAGCTGCCTGATGTGGGTGCTGGGAACCGAACTCAGATCCTCTGCGAGAATATCAAGTGCTCTTAACCACTAAGCCATCTCTCCTGCCCCGATGTGAGATTTTTAATGGAAAATTTACATGAAACATTTCCCTCTGCCTCCCATCCTCATATAAGAAAGGCTGGAGGCAGGGGGATAAAGTTCAGTTACCAAGGCAGCAGAGCTTAAGTATTTAACCTGTTCACTGCGTTTCCCTGGAATGGAGAAAGCGCAGTGGGTGAGCAGTATTCTCACTCCATGTGGCGCTTTCCCACTTGGTCGGCAGCTTAACAGCTGCTGTTAATGGGAGTGAACTTCAGCACTCTTGACAGGTCCTGGTGTTCATCCCGCTCCCTCTGGGCCCGAGCCTTTCCAACCACATGGTCGCTGCTCATGCTTCTGTGAGCTTGGCTGGTCTCTGAAGGGAGGAGCAGTGGTTTCAGACCTATGTCTCAGAAAAAGAAATCGGGAATTGAAAATTCAAATATATTTTTATTTCTAAATGACATTGATTCTGAGGTGAAACCTTTGCATCTGGAAGGGTTACAGTCTTGCCTGTGACTTCGTTTGGTGGATAAACAAGTCAAGGGACACATAGTTTGGACTTGCTTGAGATCACATAGTGACTGGCGAAGGACCTAAGTCCAAGACTTGTGCCTCCATTTCCTAACTTGCACATGCATAGTCAGTCGTGGGAGCATTGGAAGGAAGGGCCTTGTTTCAAGTTGCATGCTACAGATGTCTTTCTGATCTTTGGGTCTGAGTGAGTTTTGGAATTCAGATTTTCTAGGTTGGTTGTTTGGTTCCTCTCCAGCTCCGTTCAGGTGACAGAGCTGGGGAGACAGTTCAGGGGGTAGAGGTGCTTGCCGCCAAGCCTGATGCCCTGACTCTGATATCTGGAACCCACATAATGGAAGGAGAGAACTGACTTCCTGTAAGTTGTTCTCTGATCTCAACATGCATGCCGTGGGACTTGTCTGCCCTCCTTAAGTAAAGAAATGTAAAGACGACAGACAGGTAGTGGATACACGGGGACAACGAGAACAGACTAGAGTTTCCATTCCTACCTCGAGACTAAAGCACAGACAGAAAGGTGGTGATTAGTTTGGCAAACCGGAGATGGAAGAAGACCAGCATCAGAGGAGAGCAACAGGTCTCAGTGTCAGTCAAGACCCCCGAGTGTGAGAGCGGAATGAAGGCTGAGGATTGGCTGAGAGCCCTGAAAGGAAACAGTAAGGTTCTCTTTCCCCACGGGGTCCCTGGGATAACCTCTTCTCCACCTAGTCAAAGAGGGGAGTCTCTGGAGAGTGAACAGCAGTCCTAGGCACAGCTGGTGCAGGGCAATGATGCATGGCTGAATTGGAGATAAGATGAATCCTGAATGCTGAATGAGTGGAGTCCCCTGTTTCCTGTTGCAGCCTCCAGACACCCCGGGGCAGGGTTCTATGCTCCTACTCAGAGCACAGAGGAATCTTCTCTGGGGAGATGGCCCCAAGGAAAAGCCCTGGAAATAATGATATTTAAGTCAATGAAAGGGTGAGGGCTCCATTTGACTCCCCATTGAGGTCAGCAAGCCTTTCCCATGGGCTCATCCATCAGCTGGTCTCTTCCTGCCTCACTCTGTCACGTGACTAGATGGATGGCAATCTTCAGATGCTTATGGATATGCAAATGAAAGAGAATAGAACTGTTGTAAAAGGATATAGAACACACACACACACACACACACACACACACACACACACACACTAGATGTAACTTTAAAAAATCAGCGAACACAGGTAAATAGAGACTCAGAAGGGCTTTTTAACAGCAGTCTTGGAAGCTGGGAAAGGGAAAAACATCTTCTAAAGACTTAGAGAAACTGACTTAGAAACTAGATTTCTGTATCCAGCAAGCTGTGAGATGACTTACATAAATCATTAAATACAGCATTTTTGTTTGCCTGCAGAGGGAGAGTTCCTCAGGGTCTCTAGTTTTTCTTCATATTTTGAGACAGGTGTTATGTAGTCCAGGCTGGCCTCTAACGTCTCACACATTCAAGGATGACCTTGAATTTCTGATCCTCCTGCTTCCATTTTCTGAGCGTTGGGGATGATAGATGTGTGCTACCATGTCTGGTTTATTTGGTGCCGTAGATTGAACTCAGGACTTTGTGCACACTTGGTAAACACTCTACCAACTGAACTAGATTCCAGCCCATCTGTGTTGGCTAGTTTTTATGTTACCTTGACACAAGTTAGAGTCCGGAACCTCAGTTGAGAATATGTATCCATGTGGTTGGGCTGTAGGCAAGCCTGTAGGGCATTTTCTTTTCTTTCTTCTTGTTTTTAATGTATACAGTGTTCTGCCTGCATGTATGTCTGCTGCCAGAAGAGGGCACCAGATCTCATTACAGATGGTTGTGAGCCACCATGTGGTTGCTGGGAATTGAACTCAGGACCTCTGGAAGAACAACTAGTGCTCTTAACCTCTCAGCCATCTCTCCAGCCCCTAACTAGTGATTGATGGAGGAGGACCCAGCCCATGGTGGGTGGTGCCATCCCTGGGCTGGTGGTCCTGGGTTCTATAAGAAAGCAGGCTGAGCAAGCCATGGGGAGCAAACCAGTAAGCAGCACCCCTCCATGGACTCTGCATCAGCTCCTGCCTCCAGGGTCCTGCCCTGTGTGAGTTCCTGTCCTAACCTCCTTCAATGATGAACAGTGATAAGCCAAATAAACCTTTTCCTCCCCAAGTTGCTTTTGGTCACGGTGTTTTATCACAGCAATAGTAACCCTAACTAAGATACTATATCTAGTGTTTCCATTGGCAAAGAGTCTGATGTATTTTAATGTTTTAGTTAATTGGTGAATTATTATTGTGTGTGGTACATGGGCACACAGTTCATGGTGGTCAGGGGATAACTGAGGAGTGAGCTCTCTCCACTTTTATATGGTTCCTAGGGATCAGACTCAGTTTGCTAGGCTCATGCAATAAGAGCCTTTATGCACTGCATCATTTTGCTGGTCCCGGAGGCTGATTTATTACTTGTTCATAAATGGTTTGGGCTGTAACGTGCAGTGGAAAAACACATTCCATACAAGGGATGAGGAAATTCAAGAAAAACCCTTATAGTTACAGCAGGCAGTTTCCATCCCTTCCCCATTGCATTCCCCCGGTCTCCCAGGATTGCCCTCAGCTGAGTCAAGTGTTAGATACTCTCAGTCTTCTCCTCAGTTCCTTAGAACAGCAGTTCTCAGCCTGTGGGTCTCGACCCCCTTGAGGTCGCATATCAGGTAGCCTGCCTATCAGATATTTACATTATGATTCATAGCAGTAGCAAACCTACAGTTATAAAGTAGCAATGAAATAATTGTATAGTCGGGGGTCACCACAACATGAGGAACTGTATTAAAGGGTCACAGCAGAGGAGCTGAGGACGGAGACACAGGTGCAGCCTGTGAAGAGCTGGGTGGAGTTGAGTCTGCCGGGCTCAAGTCTCAGCCAATGGGATTTAGGAGCTTGATGGATAACTGCCTCATCTCTCTGGCCTCAGCTGTCTGTGCCAGTTCCAATCTACGCACTGGGTTTGTCGCCGAGGATCCCAGCAGGCCATGCTCTTCATGTCTGAGAGGTGACTTGCTCATGGGTGCCCCTCAGTAGGCCTGGGGCTGTCTCTCAGCCAAATCACTGGCAGCCTTTCTTGAGAATTATCTTTTGGGGGGAAGCAGGGATATTGTATATGTTTTCTGTGCTAAAATACAGAAACATCTTCCCTTTGAATTCTTTGCAATCAAGAAAAATGAGATGAGCTGGATAATTCTGTATTGATTTGTAAAGTGTGGGGTTTTCTTGCTCTGTTTTATTTGGGGAAAAATGGCAAGAGGAGGGGGGTGCCAGGAGGGTTACCCTTTCCTTTGTCAGCTTGCTGGGTATTTCAGAGCGCTTTCCCCCTTTAAGATGTTTTAGAACTCTTCCAAATTATTCTGGTAATTGACCATGAAAGTAAACCGATAAGTCTTTCTAGAAATTTCCATAGGTGCTGTAGCATTAGCACATGGTGATAACACCTTCTTCTGCTTAGAAAGGTGAGAAAATGAGCAGGAATGAGAATCAGCGCATGCCCGTGCCATGAAAGAGAGCCTGTATTATACCTGCCCTATGGCTTTCTGTTGGTTTGATTTCTTGTATGTTTTTGGAAAACAGCTTTTTTGTTTGTTTGCTTTGTTTTTGTTGAGACAGGGTCTAGTTGTAGCCCAGGATACCCACAAATTGAAGATCCCCCTGCTTCTAGCTCTCAAGAGCTGGTATTGCAGGCTTGTGCCCTCCACCCCATCCCACCCCATACACATGCAAGTGGCCTGGGACTCTGTCTTCTTGTCTCAGTGTCCTACAGGCTGGGATTACATGCACATGCCACCAGATCTAGCCAGATGTAGCTCATTTGCATGCTAATTTTATTATCCTTGCTCATCATTTTGAAGCCAAATTTGTCTTCCAGGAGTTTCCAGTTGAGGAATAGTGAAAATGGATCATGCACGTGAGTAGCTCTGACTTTTGTGAGAGGTTGGTGGGTGGTTTGTGATTCCCTCACTGGTGGTGACGAAAGGGAGCTTTGAGTGAGAGGGAAAGATATTTTGTAAGCGGTCATGGGTTTGGACTGGGTGCCTGCCCTGGACTCAGCAGACTAAACCCATGTGGAGCGTGACGGCAACTATGGGCATTGGTTGGCTGCAGGATGCCCGATCCCAATGGCCTAAGCTGTTGACCGGCTGGTGAGTGAAGCTATAGTCAGCTAAATTGTTTTCTTGGTTTTCCCTGTTCCTTTTGAGGAAGGCATTTCGGACTGTAGCCCAGGTAGGCCTTGCATACACACTTCCTGTTTTAGCCTCTTGAATGCTGGGATGACAGCTCTGAGCCACCATGATGCTGTGTAAGTTTTTCTACTAATGGTATTTGAGTGTCACTGGCTGGAGGTTTCAGAATATTATTGTTCTAGTCATGAGAGTTGCCAGGGTTGAGAAGAATTTTCTTTTGACTTGTTTTGAATTTCTGCGTTCATGTAAACTCTATGCAACTTAGCTGGTGTAAGGAATTTTCTCCTTAGTGGACTACTGCCAAGGGGAGGGTTATGAAAAAGTAGGTCATGTGTGTGCATGTGCAGACTGCAGGTCAACCTCAGAGGTCACTGCTTGGGGGCTGGCCACCTTGCTTTTTGAGATAGGGTCTTTCACTGGGACCCAGGGCTCACTGATTAGGCCAAGTCTGCTGGCCGGTGAGGGAGGCTCAGGAGCACCAGACATCCTCCTAGATCTGCCTTCCCCGTTCTGGGGTTACAAGTGCGAGCTACCGTGCTTAGCTTTTACAAGGGTTTGGGGCATTGAACTTGAGTCCTCACACTTGCACAAGCGTGGTAAAGCTCACTTTACCAACTGAGCTTTCTCTGCGTCCTTGGTTTTTAAATTCAAGTATGTTGGGTTAACCTGTTCTAACTGGGCACACTGGAACAAAGTGTGTTTCTCATCTAGGAAACTGCTTTGCAGAGTCAGGGGTATTGATTGAACTAACGCCCGCAAAGTACCGAGTGGCGTGCCTGGGATATAACGGTGCTCTGAACATTCGAACCCTGAAGTCGGCTAAGCAGTGGGGGCCTCTCCTCCTCTGCTCATGGGAGACCCAATCTCATTTCTGGAGCATCGTGGCCTTGAGATCTTGGCTTGAATTTAGTTCCTTCTTGAATTTAGTGCACTAGCCTATGGTTGCTAGTGCATTTCGGCTCCTCAAGGAGCTAGTCCCAAAGCAGGCATGCTCCTCAAATTGTCATTTTAGCACTGACATTCCTTCCAAAACTGCTTTGACACTGGGGCCTGTAGTCTAAGTACTATTTCTGTACATACTTGATCTAGCCCATTCTGGCTTTTTCCTCTTGATTTCTTTTATCCTCCTTTTCCTCTTCTTTCATCCTTCCTTCTTTCTATATTTTTGCATATGTATGTGTGCAAGAAGTGTGTGTACAAGGTGTGTGTGTAAGATGTGTGTGTGTGTGTGTGTGTGTGTGAACATGTAGGTATAGATGGCTAGGGTGGTGGTAAAGCAATCAAGCTGTCTCCACAGGGCAGCAGCAGAGAGGAGCTCACCAGTGGCCCACTTGTCACAGTGCACAGGCGATCAGTCATTGGCCAGAGGAGCTTATTGGTGAACATTTAGAGTATTGACCAACAGGCAGGAGGGATGGGGTGTGAAGCATGAACAGCCACGTAGAAAGCAGAGCATCAATCAGGATCCAGAGACATCACAGCAGTGGCCAACAGCCTTGTTGCAGGAGCTTAAAAATGACCACTGGAGGTTATTGACCACGGAACAAGCCCCACAACACTTAGACGTGGGAATTGTTTGCCTTTCCTGGTTTATCCTAGCTCACACAGGTGGATTCTGGGCAAAGAATTTGTTTTTTTAGGAAGTTGTAGATTTTCTCTTTTTCCCCCAGTCTCCCCTTCTTCCTCCTTCCTTTTCTTCCTTGGTCTCAGGAGCCCAGACTATCTAATTGCTGGATAGCAGAGGATGGCCTTGATTTTGAGCCTCCCTGGAGGATCGTGAAGGGGGAAAATTTGGATTCTTTATCTCCAGAAAATGTAATTTTTTTTTTTTTTGTATTTAGACAGTGGGTTGAGGAACCCTGAAACTTTTGTAGAATAATCAAGTGAAAAATCTTACATTATTTCTGTGCTAGATAGGTAGCTGAGGCTTCCATGAGCTGGCCCCCAAAGTCGGCATTATTTACATGGCAGAGCTGGGATGGGAGTGTTTTGAGTTTTGTCCACATCGAGTCTGGAAGCTGGGTCCCAAATTGACCTCTGCAGAAAGTACAGAAGAAAGGAATAGAGGACACCATTTATTCGCTGGCTGTTTGTAAATAAATCAAGAGTTCCAATGATTTGATTTCTTCCTTTTCTTAGGATGATTGTTTATAAAAAAGGTTGGGGAATGATAAACTATTGGAAAACGAGATTGAGAATAACTCAGAAATCAAATATGCCACAGTAAGAAAGACAGAGATGATTATGAAGAAAAAGTGGCCTATAATGGACGTGGTGGCGTGGTGGTTTTGGAGCAATGGAAAAAGATGCTTGTGAATGGCAGTGTTCTAATCTCTAATGAGACCGTAGACCATATTAAATGAATGGCTATTTATAGTCTGGGGTAAGTGAAATGTTCATAAGGTATGCTTATTTAAAAATTTCCTTCATTTGATCATTAAGATATCTGTCTCTATATCTATATAAGATATCTGTATCTAGATCTCTATATTTAAAGACAGGGTTCTTGCTGGGCAGTTAGAGCACAACTTTAATCCCGGCACTCTGGAGGCAAAGACAGGCAGATCTATGAGTTTGAGGCCAGCCTGGTCTACAGAGTGAGTTCCAGGGCAGCCAGAGCTACAGAGAGAAACCCTGTGTTGGAAAACAAAAACAAAAACAACAAAAAAGTGTGACTGGCTAGGTGAGCAGAGGACTCGGGTGAGCAAGGGTTATTCTTTTCTACTCCTGCTCTCTTTCCTCCCTCCCTCCCTCCCTCTCTTCTTCCCTCCGTAACCCTCCCTCCCGTCCTTCCTTCCTTCCTACCTGTCTGTCTGCCTCTCAACAAGGCTGGCTAAGAACTTGCTATATAGTTCAAGATAATCTTGAATTTAGAATCCTCCTGTCTCCACTTCCTGAGTGTTGGGATTATAGAAGTGCAGTACCACACTTGTTTGTTGGGGTGCTGACCATCAAACTCAGGGTTCCATGCATAGTAAGCAAGCACTCTACTAGCTGAGCTGTAAGCCCGGCCCAAGTCAGTGGCCCTGATCTGTTTCTCAGATTGCACTGGGACACCTCTCATACCCGTCAGTCAAATCAGTACATGTTCACAGATTCAAGACCCCGAAGTTTTTAGAGTCGCCTCAAAGTTAGCCACATTTGCAAATCTGACTAAGTATAGGTAGGCACCATGCACCCTAAAGCCACACTGTATATTCCCCAGGCTTCAGCTCTGGTGCTATTAACAGGTAAGGTCAGGGGTCACAGCAATCTTTTTTTTTTTTTTTTTTTTTTTTTTTGGTTTTTTTGAGACAGGGTTTCTCTGTGTAGCTTTGCGCCTTTCCTGGAGCTCACTTGGTAGCCCAGGCTGGCCTCGAACTCACAGAGATCCGCCTGCCTCTGCCTCCCGAGTGCTGGGATTAAAGGCGTGCGCCACCAACGCCCGGCCACAGCAATCTTATGAATAAATGCTGTATAACTCAGTTTGGGCTGTGGATATACCTAGATGATTACTGGGCAAGCATGTTAACCTGAGTTCAGATCCCCAGCATCCAGGAAAATGGAACAATTAGGTATTTACCTCAGCAATCTTAGTGTAATCATAATCGTGTCTTAGGTCATTTGGGTCACTAAAACAAAATCCCATTGGGATTCTGATTGATTCCTCACACTCAGAATTCCATGGTCCAGGGGATGATAGATTCAGGGTCTGCTGAGGGCCGCTCTTGGCTTAGACTGCATCTTCTAATCACGTCTGCATTGTCTCATTTGGTGAAAAGGATGAACTGGTCCCTGGCCTGTTTGATACAGACACAAATGTCATTGGCTAGCGCCCATTCTTATGACCCAACCACTCCTCAAAGGCCCCTCCCCCTAACACCATCATCTTTAGATTCAGTTTCAGCATAGGATTTTGAGGGACCCTAGACATCCAGACCATAGCACCCCACCCCACCCCAGCCCTTTTAAGGTATGAATTACACCAGGGGCTAAGATAGGAATCGTTACAGGGAGGATATTCTTTGGGAGCTACATGAGAAACGCCTGCCGCCATTGTGTTGCAGTGGGAGCCCCACAGCAGAGTGAGTTTAATTAGCTCAGGTAGTTCCATCTATGTTTCCTTTTCTGCCTTTCCCCTTGACTTGGTTCATCAATGGAGCACCCGAGGTGGGGTCATTTACAAAGAACAGAACTTCCTCTCACAGCTACAGAGGCCGGCAAGTTCAAGATCGGGATGTTGACATGTGCTCAGGGCTACTCTCTGCTCCCAAGATGGCACCTAGAATGGAAGAAAGTTACAGTTTCCAGTGGAAGATGGCAAAGGCAAAAAGGGACAAGCGGTGTACAAGCTCTTTCAGAAGGCCATCTAATGCCATTTGCAAGGGGAGCGCCTTTAAGGCCCAACCCACTCTTTATAAGGGCTCCTCCCGCAAGGGCTGCGCCTCCAGGTTAAAGCTGTTCTGTTGCTAACACTGGACTTCAGAAGGGACATGTTCAAACCATGGCCCTCCCTGCCCACGTCCTCCTGGAACTTAGGAGCAGACACTTGCATGGGTCTGTAAAGCCTCAGAGTGCCAGGCTATTCTTCTGTTACTTTCCTCACCAGCAGAAGCAAAGAAAAATGAAGTCAAGTTTTCACTTCCAGGAGAAGGTTGTGAGAACATGGATGTGCCTGCAAATGTTCTTTTCCCTACTTCCTTAAAAAAAAAATAACTTACTCTCCGAGCTGCTCTCAGACTCATTTGTTAGCCAGGAATGACCTTGAACTCCTGGTTATCAGGCCTCTGATTCCTCGGTTCTGGGATTGCTGGCGTGTACCACACTGTATCTGTGGGCTTTCTTCCCGTACCACATGTTGGGACCTTCAGTGAACAGACTGCCAGTTGACCAAATGTCTTTCTCTCAGGAATGCCCAGGCTCTGAACGATGTAAAAGATTGAAGTGGGTTTAAATCTATGCTCACAGGAGATTTCACTCAGAATAGGCCTTTATGAATATTCATGTTGAAGTACTTAGCCTCGGGGTGTGAAATATTAATCTCTTACCTGAGTTTTACATCTAATTCTCTTTCAATGACACAGAAAAATTAAATGTTACCTGCCACCAGGGGCATCATTAGGATGGGCTCTGTGGATTAAAAGTCTGAGAGAAGAAACTCATGATCTCAAAAAAAAATTTTTTTTTGTTGCTATTTCCAATTATGTGCCAGGCAAAATTTACCAAGTTATCACAATTGTTTTTGTTCCTGTCTATCCATATCTGAGAAGCAAATAACAGTAGAGGGCAGTTTCTCTTAGTATTCAGTTTTAACGATATTTGTTAAGGATGAGTATCCAGGGCTGGGGATGTGGCTCGGTATACGGTAGAAAGCTTGCCCAGCATTCGTGAATCCCCAAGGCCAATTCTCAGAACTGCATAAACCAGGTGTGATGGTGCACAGCTGTGTCCCAAGCTCTTGGAAGGTGGAGACAACAGGAGTTGAAGGTCATTCTCAACTGCATAGTGAGGCCAGCCTTGGATGCATGAAGCGCGCACGTGCACGCGAACACACGCGCGCACACACACACACACACACACACACACACATCAAGAAACAAAGCAATATGATTCAGGTCCAGAGAATCCAGTCTTAGGCATGGAGAACGAAGATTCTCAGAACCAGGTGTGGTGCCACATGAGTTAGACCCCAGCACTTAGGAGACCGAGGAAAGCATGTCATGAGTTCAAAACCACCTGTGCTGCATAGACTGCTTCAAAAATAATAAAACACAAAAACTTTAGTGACAAGTAAGTATTGAAAGCAACTGCCCTTCACTGAATGGAAGAGCTGAAGAATAACACAGAAAGGTATGTCTGTTGTGGTACATGCTTGTCTTTGTCTTGATTTTTTTTTTCAAGATAAGGTTTCTTTGTGTAGCCCTGGCTGTCCTGGATCTTGCTCTGTAGCCCAGGCTGGCCTCGAACTCACAGAGATCCACCTGCCTCTGCCTCCTGAGTGCTGGGATTAAAGGCGTGCGCCACCACTGCCTGGCTTGTCTTGACTTTTTTAAGGATGTATTTTATACATGTGGGTGTTTTGCCTGCACATGTCTGTGTACCACATGTGTGCCAGGTGCCCTCAGAGGCCATAAGAGGGTTCCAGATGCCCTGGAACTGGAGTCACAGATGATTGTGAGATGCCAGGGTGCTGGGAACTGAGGAGCAAACTGCTGGGCCGTCTCTCCAGCCCTTTTTTTTATTTTTATTTTTATTTTAGTTTGGTTGTGTTTGTTTGAAAAGTTGAAAAAGGCAGTTAAAAGGTAGTTTAAAATGTTTTGTATCCTTATTATAAAAAGATTTGTGGAAAAAAATTGTAGAAGAAATTTAGGAATAAGGGACAAATGAAAAGATGTTGCTGACCATCCCAGCAAAACCTACTATTTTATCAGTTTCTTTTACTCAGTCTTTTATTACCCACTAAAAACTTCAAAAATAGATTCACACTACTGTTTTGGATATTGTTTAAAATAGCTGTCTATTGTATGGATATCTTATAACTCATTTAAACAATGAGACATTTTGATACTTAGTTGCAATTTTATGTTTACATTTTAAATTTTATTTATTTATTTATTTGTTTATTTATTTATTTATTTGTGTGTGTGTGTGTGTGTGTGCGCGTGCACATGTGTGGAGGCCAGGTGTTAACCTAAGTGTCCTTCCTTAGGAGCTGTCCACTTTGTGGGTTGTTTTTTTGGGAGACAAGGTCTGACTATGTAGCCCTGGTTGGCCTGCAACATAGAGGATTTGTCTGCTATTATGCCTGGGAAATAGAACATGTTGTGTATGTCCATTTCTTTTATTGTGAACTCCTAGAAGGAGAACAGCTAAATCAGACTGGGCTAGTACCTCACACTTTTATTCTGAGCAGAGGGAGGCAGAGGAGGCAGAGGTAGGTAGATTCTGGAGTTTCAGGTCTGCCTGGGTTATACAGTGGGAGCCTGTTACAAAGCCAAACCAAACCAAAAGCAAACAAAAGAACTCAACAATAAATATGTCCACCCCCCAAATCCCTCAAGAGTATGTATGTATTATATATTAACCCTTAATTAAAAACATCAATTATTTGTGTATATGCATAGGTGTGTGTGCCTTGGCACTCCTACGGAGGTCAGAGGACAATTTTGTGGGGTCAGTTTTCTCCTTGCACCTGTATGCGGGGTCTAGGGATGAAACCTGGGTCACCAGGCTTGCATGGCAAGTGATTCATCTGCTGAGCCATGTCACCAGTCCCACATTAACACTTTGGATATATATTGTCAAATTGCCCTTCCAGAAATAGTGTTCCATCCCTTGGTCCCTCATGTTATTTCCTCATGTTATTCCACATCTTCCCATCCATCCACCTATCCATTCATCCTTTCTTCTGTCTACCCATCCATTCATCCTTCTATCCATCCACCCACCCATCCATTCATCCTTCCATCCATCCACCCACCCATCCATTCATCCTTCCATCCACCCACCCACCCATCCATTCATCCTTCCATCAATCTACCCACCCACCCATTCATCTTTCTATCCATCCACCCACCCATCCATTCATCCTTCCACCCACCCACCCACCCATCCATTCATCCTTCCATCCACCCACCCATCCATTCATCCTTCCACCCACCCACCCATCTATTGATCTTTGCAAATATTTTAGGAAAACCCAGTCATTTGTTCCTCTTTCAACTTATAGTGGATTGAGAAATTTATCTTCATCTCAAATGAAATGTCTTTTCTTTTTCTCAAAAATACTTATTTCTTGAAGAAGAATAAAAGAACAAACAAAAACCTTTTCTTCCAGAAGAGCTAGAATCCTCTTCAAAAGATGTGATCAGTTCACATTAAGGCTGTGTGATGGTTGCCCAGCTGTACCAGTCATGGGCCTGGCAGGGCAGTCCTCTCCCAAGACTTGACTCTGTCCCCACATCTCATTACAAGATTCTTTGCAGTGAGATTTCACCTGTACATAATTCAGTAATTTACATTTTAAAACTTAATTTTGAATTTGAGGAATGAACCCTTCTCATGAGTTTGATCCCGTGGGTAGCCTTGGACATGGGCTAGCCAAGAACAAGCGATGACTTTCACCTCCTGGGTTCAGTCCTCGGTGTGGGAGTCAACAGGCTGGCATGGGAGGGAGGGTGGCATTCCTGCCATGTGCAGTGTTTGTATCTGCGCAGACTGCTGTCACAGCAGTGAGAGGGAGGCTGCAGCGTTCACTAATCAAAGTTCACATGAACACATCCTTATATAAAATATAAAATACATCCTTAAATTGACCTCCCAGGCTCCATTTTGAACTCTGCTAAAAGTCTGTTTCCATTTATTTTGGCAGCTTAAGTTGGAAGAGCAACCTGGGTATTAGGAATTCTAAGGAAAACAGTAGCCTTGGGGCATCTTGCTTGTGTCCTCTTATTTAAATGCTCCGGGAGGTTAGCCTGTCCTCACTCTTACTTACTGCTGAGAATGAAAAAATGGATTTCTCCTTTTCAGCTCTCCCCTTCCACAGAGTTTCCTAACATAGCCCTGGCTGGTTTCAAACTGGCAGGCAACCTGTTGGATCTCCCAAGTGCTGGGATTGCTGTCAGACTCTATCACACCTGACTGCTGCAGTTAGGGTTACTGTTGCTGTGAAGACTCACCATGACCAAAAGAGACTTGGGGAAGAAACGGTTTATTTAGCTTACATATCCTGAATCACAGCTATTGAGGTAATCCAAGACAGAAATTCAAACCAGGCAGGGACCTAGAGGCAGGAGCTGATGCAGAGGCCGTGGAGGGGTGCTGCTTACTGACTTGCTTCTCATGGCTTGCTCAGTCTGCTTTCTTAGAGAACTCAGGACCACCAGGCCAGGGATGGCACCATCCACAATGGTGCCCATCATCATTAAGAAAATGCCTTATGGCCGGGCAGCGGTGGCGCATGCCTTTAATCCCAGCACTCAGGAGAAGAGCCAGGCAGATCTCTGTGAGTTGGAGGCCAGCCTGGTCTATAGAGCAAGATCCAGGACAGGTATCAAAACTACACAGAGACACCCTGTCTTGAAAAACCAAAAAAAGAAGGGAAAAAAAATGCCTTAGAGGCTTTCCTACAGTCTGATCGTTTTTTTTTATTTTTTTTATTTTTTTATTTTATTTTATTTTTTTTTTGGTTTTTTCGAGACAGGGTTTCTCTGTGTAGCTTTGCGCCTTTCCTGGAGCTCACTTGGTAGCCCAGGCTGGCCTCGAACTCACAAAGATCCGCCTGGCTCAGCCTCCCGAGTGCTGGGATTAAAGGCGTGCGCCACCACGCCCGGCTTTCCTACAGTCTGATCTTATGGAGGCATTTTCGCAATTGAGGTTCCCTCCTCTTAGATGACTCTAGTTTGTGTCAAGTTGACATAAAACTAGCCAGCACAGATAGCCTGTTGATCCCATCTGATCTAAGCTACTGTGATGGCAATTACTGAAGATGCTTCTATTTATTGATGGTCCCTGAGCCTCCATCTGGGAATGTTATAGCTAGGTTAGATGTAATAATTTTTTTTTTGAGATAGGCTTTCTCTGTGTAGCTTTGGAGCCTGTCCTGGAACTCACTCTGTAGACCAGGCAGGCCTTGAACTCACAGAGACCCACTTGCCTCTGCCTCCTAGTGCTGGGATTAAAGGTGTGTACCACTACTACTTGGCTAGGTTAGATGTAATGATGAATATCAAATTTGCTATATTATAGACAGGTTGTATGCCAATCCTCCAAACCCTGCTGGAAATCTCAGTGGCCACCTTGCCTGTGGGATTATGTAGTGACCATTTATCTGTCAGTTAAACCCCACTGCATGATAGCCATGCAGCATATTCCTATTTTCTCTGCTTTAAATTTTTTAAAATTAAAACCCTTTATTTTTTTG